CGCAAAGAAACAAAACTGGCCTTTCTTCCATTCTCCAGACAAATGGTCAGTTCCCCATCTTCCAATGTGAGTATGCCCTCGACGCGATCAACATGCGTACTGAAATTTGGTCTGTACTCAAACGAAAACGGGGTCCGTCCGCAATGTTCGACGAACGCTCTGAGAGCTGACAGGCTCGTCATCCATTCCACGTCCATGAGGGCCTGCTGGGAAGTAGTGGGTATCATTGTGATTGCTTGCTTCTGACTTACCTTTCGTTTCAAACTTACGCTTTGCGACACTTTCCTTACGCAAGATGGGGGAAGACACGTGTTATTTTAAGTTATACGACCCCTCTCAGCAAGTAGGGTAAGGCTTGACCATTCCTATCGCAGACTCCCACAACAAAATTCAAGACAAAGCAAGAAAAATTCTACATCGTTTATGGGCGGCTGCGGGCTTTCTTCAGTGTTGGCTGGTGGGTTTGCAAGCTGCCCGCGAAGGTCGTGAAGACACGGTGGGGCGAAAAAAAAATTGGCTTCCCATTCTGCAGAAGTACCAAATAACGATCAAAAAGGTATACAGAAAGCATTCGCTACTAGCCATCGGCATCTCAATTTGGTAGGTCATGCCCTTTGACGACCCCTATGGGATCATACGGCGCAACTTCTAAATATCCCACTTCCCTGGCCACCAACTGGAAAAAATATGGCTAACTGGTGCGCCTGTCGTCATCATAGGGCATTTTTAAAAAATTGGCCTGCTTGGCTGCTGTGTTATTCAAATATTTATTGTATTCTACTAGCAAATACATAACTGTAGTGCGCCCCATAGGTTTATCTAAATGATTGTTCAGTTTTCCTCCAAAAGTGTGGAGCTGCAAATTCAAGGCATACGTTTCTGCCTGCAAATCGCCTGTGGTATTTGTCACCATTGCCCTTCGGCCACTAGATGCTCCACTGAGACTTCTGAAAAAAGGCAAATGGTTTGAAAATCTAAGCATTAGTTGCAAACACATTGCCAGTTGGCTGCGAAAGTGATGCCATGAGGGTGTGTTACCGAGAAACTTCTCATACAATGCATGCCCGGCCTAAGCGTCAGGGAAAAAATTTCGGCATAGCTGTTGGGACACGCCGGTTGTCTATCAAACTCTAACAGTCGTCTTGGTACTACACGCCGGAACACAATAATAATGGAAAAGAGTCTTTCTCTGGTTCCTGCCGCGCACCTCGCTAAGGGCGTCTTGCTTTCCACGCCCTCAATTGCCAACGTGTGGGGGGATGGGGTCCGTCTGGTCATTGTAATGTTTTCTGGCTCAATTCAATGTTCTGCGCCTTGCTATCGAGTATGGCAAGAATGGGTTCATAGTTCCTCATAGAGCTCTGTTTTTTTCACACTATAAACTCACCCTGTTTCATATTTTGGGTGACTTGGCGCGTCTGTAACCCCAATGCCCCCTCAAGGGTTTACACCCGGATGCCATCAAGCCTAACATGAACCCCCCCGCTGGCCATGACGGTGGGGGCATCGCAGTTACTGAGAAAAAAAACATGTGCTTAGGTAATCTCACTTAACGGCCCCTGCTTGTGCCAAATATTGCTGCCAAGCGCGACGGGGTGGGGTATCCGGGAAGCGCGTCTATTCTCTTACTATGGATTCTGTGACAAATCAACTTCTACCGAGGCACTATGTGTTTGCCATTGGCCTGCGCGGTGGCGGCAGAGAAGGGATGTAAAATTTGTATGACCACCGGATGAAATTGCATATGCGGATGTGTATGGGTTGGACTTTTATAACAAGGGAACTCCTACACCGCAAACTTGTAACCATTTATGTTTAAGATGAGAGGCTTGCATACATTTTTTCTGGTAAATCCACCTTCAAAAGAGCCTTTTAATCACTTATATCCGCAGCTTTGTACCACACAACGCTCAAGAGCCGGGGAATATTTCCTTCAGACCTTAGCATTTTTATATTTTCTGGCATTTTTAGCTTGTCCAAGAGGTCGTTGTTGTTGTTGTTCCATGTGAAATTTAACGACCAGGTGTCGCTGCCCGAAGGAGGAAGGAGGAAATGCATTTGTGCACATCTGCCGTGTTAGGGCAAATTATGTGGGACTCGGTGGTGAGGAAACCCACCCATACCCACTAAAACCTCCTGATCATAGAGATCTTTCAACCCACGGGCGTGGGCGACAACAGAAGCACGGTATCCCAAAGAGCGGTCTCCGGTTAGGCCCTCCGCTTGATCCCCGGAGAGCAGGTCACGCTGTATCCCGACCATGGCACAGTTCCCGGGAGAACTATAGCGTATGGCATTGAATTCCCCAGTCCGGGAAACCGGGTACTCGACCGTGAAACTTATTATTTGGTGGCGTGTAATTTTCCTGCAGTCTCTCCGTTCAGGTACTTTACCCATGATAAGGTGCGCCTTATTCGCCAGGCGCAAAACTGCACCACCACAATATGCAGCAACCGTATCACGGTGCAGCCCGAACTAAGCCGGATTCGGTTGTACAGTTGTAGAAATTTAGCTTCCCAAGTAATGAACTTGGTGCTAGACCTGGGTTCCACGATGGCGCATTTCCGAAAAACGAGGGAGAAAATCATGTTTTTCTTTCTTTCTCGTCTCTTCACGACTATCGTCGATGGCTCCGCTCCATCGGCCACCATTGTAGAGCACGTTCGTTTTTGCTTAATTTCTATGTGGAAGGAGGTCCCTTTGTTTTGTTATGTATTTTGTTATTTTTNCGCATCGCCAAGGGTATATGGACCCATTCGACTTGGGAAAAAAGGATGTTCATAATGCGAAGATTCTGCGACTTCGCGAAAAGGAACGATCTCGAGGTTCGGGAGAAAAACGTTCCTCTTTTTATTTTTTTTTTTTTTTTCTTCCTCGTGTCTTCACGACTCTCGTCGATGGCTCCGCTCCATCAGCCACCATCGTAGAGCACGTTCGTTATTGCTTAATTTCTATGTGGAAGGAGGTCCCTTTGTTTTGTTATGTATTTTGTTATTTTTGGTGTTTTCTGTTTTTGTTCTGTTTTTGGTATTTTTGTTTTTGTGTTTTGTTGTTTTTGGTGTTTTGATCTCTGTTTCGTTGTGCCGGTCCATTGAAAAACATGCGCTGGAGGATCGGTCGGCTCAGTGCTCTCAACTGGGCCGGGAAAGCCTACTTGCCCCATTGGTCTTAGCTCCCTCAGGGGG